AAAATAAAATAAAATAATAAACAAATAAACAAACAGCCAAAAGAGGACTGGGCTGGGGCTATAGCTCAGTGTAGGTTACTTGCCTAGCATGCCCAACCCCCTATCAATTCTCAGGACTAGAGAACCAACCAACCAACCTAGAAAAGCCACACAGCCCAGGAGCTGAAGGAAGCCACAGCTACAAGCTCATTTGGCAGGAAAAGGAACAGGCCAAAGAAAGCGCCTTGCCCCAGGTCACACAGCCACCTGGCCAGGGAGTTGGGACTTGGCGAGTTGTGACTTGGTGGTCTCCAAGACTTGCTCAGGAAAGCCAGGGAGTAGGACACTGGACTTAATAAGCCAAGAGCCCTGCAAGTCTGTCCACCCAGCCACCCTGGAGGGAGTGTGACAGAAAGAGAATGGGTGCACACAGGTGGATAACACTCCTAACTGCTGAGCCCACACGCTCACAGGCCAGGCCTTCCAATGGCCAATGAGACAGCAGGGTTCAGTAAGAGGACAGGCTCTGGCCTCCCATTTGCCAATTGTGTAACCCTGCAGCAGCCACTGTGTCCTTCTGCTCAGTGCCTCCAATCGCTCACAGCACTGAGCTATAGGAGAGGTGCACTAAGCTGTCAGCACCTAGGCCAGTGGCACCCAGCCAGCCCTGTGGGTGTCAGCGGGTTTATAATCACTGCCTCTGACAGAAGGGAAGTGGAGACTGGCAAGGGCACACACACAATTCAAGAGCCCATCCTGGGCCAGGGCCTTGGCTTCTACCAGGGTCGAGTGTGAGAGCTCTGCCACCATCCCCTTCCACCCTGCTCTGCAAGCGACAGACAGCAGGGACAGCAGCACCAGCACTAGGCCCAGCTTCCAAGCAGTAGGCCCGGCTTCCAAGCTTTGTAACCACAGAACAGCCTGGGTCAGGAGCCTGGTGGATTCGAGAATCCACTTGGCTTCCAGGCTGCCAGCTGCCACCTCCCCAGCAACACCACCCTCCCTGGTCCTCCCCTGCCATTTCTGGGGCTTGGCTCAACCCTCCAGCTATTTCAAATGACTCATGCCCACGAATCTTCCTCAACCTACAGCTTGGGGTGGGTGCAGCTTGAGATGGGGATCCCAGACCTTTGCTGGCATGTCTATACACCGTGTCACAGACAGCATGATGCATCACAGGCACAGGGCAGGCTCAGCTCGGGCTGCTGCCCAAGGGAGCTCTCACAAGGCCACCTGGCAAATTAAAGTCACGCAAATCACACCTAGGCTCTCCAAAGGCCATGCTGGGAAGCCCATGAACCATCACTCTAGCTACAAACCATCCACAAATCCACGTGGGTAGCACTTACTGGCAGCCTTCAAGATTGGGTGCAAGGCGACAGCTACCACACTGAGCTCCAAAGGCACATGTCCATTTCCCAGCAGCAGTGTAGACTTTATTTCTCTAGAAATAAAGCTTATTTCCCTAGACTCCTCTCTTCGCAGGTAGGAATGTGTGGTGCTACACACAGTGCCCTGGAGGCACCACTCTCACAGCTCCATCACCCAGCCACAACCAGATGAGACCAGGTTGGCAGCTGGGGACCAGAACCTGTAGGTTGGAATGGTGCTTTTAACTTTCAGAACCAGTTGACTACCAGATTACTACAGTTTGAGGTCAGGAGACCAAACTCCTTTCAAGAATATAGCTCAGGGCTATAGAAATGGCTGTGGGTAAGAGAGCTTGCTGTTCAAGAGTGAGAACGACTGGCACCTTCAGCCCCCAGGTAAATGATGGGCACACAGCCAGGCATGGTGGTACAAGCCTTTAATCTAAGCACTTAGGAGGCAGAGGCAGGCAGATCTCTGTGAGTTGAAAGCCAGCCTGGTTTATATAGCCAGTTCTAAGTCAGCTGGGACTCCAGGGACTCCCTGTCTTAAAAAGAAAAAAAAAAAAAAAAAAAAAAGGTACATGTACATTTTATAGTTGCCCGTGCTCAGATGGGCAGGATCCTTGTTGTCCAAAGTTCCCAATACATTCAACCAAGTTTCCATAGAAACAACTTTCTTCACATTCATTGTTAACACACACACCACAAATCTTAAAAAATAATGTAGTTCAGTTGGTAGTATACTTGCCTAGCATGTAAGAATCACTGGGTTTGACCAATAGCACAGCATAAAAAGGGTGTCCTGGTGGGTACCTATAATCATTTACCAGCATTTAGGAGGCAGAGGCAGGAAGATCAGGAGTTAAAGTTCATCATCAGTTCCTAGTGAGTTCAAGGCCAGCCTCGTGAAACCTTGTAGCAAAAAACAAGCCAAGTGGGGTGGCACATCCCACTTTAGTCCCAGCAGTCAGGAGGCAGAGGCAGGCAGATCTCTGTGAGACTGAGCCCAGCCTGGTCTACATAGTGAACTCCAGGCCAGCTGGGTCTACAAGGAGGCCCTGTCTAAAACAAACAAACAACCAATCAACCAATCTCTCTCTCTCTCTCTCTCTCTCTGTCTCTCTCTCTGTCTCTCTCTCTCTCTCTCATTCTCACTCTCTCTATGGGAAAAGGGCCTTGACTGACCTCAGGTTCCTCCTGCAGCCTCACCTCACCCAGGAGAGAGTAGAAGGGAGTGGGTAGGTCCAGAGGACAGAACCCCAGGGGTCCACCTTCCCTCCCCTACATGATGCTGGGTGCCAGGTTCCAGCAGAGGCTGTGCAAGCCCCTGCCTCATGGCTGCCCTGACACTAGCAGGCCTTGGGTGGACCAGCAGGAATGCATGTGCACATGAGCACACAGCCAACCACACACAGGCTCATCTCTACTCTGTACATTCTGGTCCCAGGGATGGCCCTGGTGACATGCAGGCCACTCATTCCATTAGCAAGAGAGTCTAACAAGAACTAGACAATCATTTGTAGTCAATGTATCAAAGCCAGCAGGACCCTGACTGCTTAGAAAGACTAGTACACTGAAGATTATTAGAACCCTCAAGCCAGGTGGGGTGGCACAGGCCTGTAATCCCCTGAGGTTGGAGGAGCAGGAGTTCAAGGTCAGCCTGGGATACATTATCAGAACCTTCAGCAGGAACCATGTGATAAGCTGCTCTGGGAGAGCACTGTGTAAAGAAAGATGGGCTGTGATGTTTCCAGCATCTACATTTGTTAACAGCCCAAAAGGAGCACCAACCCACTGTCTGTCAACCAGTAGACAGACAAATAAAATGTGGTATATCCATCCACACCAGGAAACATTATTCATCCATGAAAAAGGAAGGGAAAGTACTGCTGAATACTACAATGGGCTAAATCCTGGAAACATCCTAAGGAAAAAACACTCACAAAAGGTCACAGAGCATAGAGGTCCTGAGGAACCACACAGAATAGTTCAGAACAGACAAATTCTGGAGACACAGTAGGTGTAAGAGAGGGTGGCCAGAGCCTGGGGAAAGAGGGTTTGGGGGATGGTGAAATGTTCTAGAACAGGGCAGCTGGGAAGGTTTCGTAACTCCCTGCAGCCTTCACTCCCCAGGGGTGGTGTTCAGGAAGTGGATAGGATCTCAGCAAAGCTGCTAGAAAACATACAGATGAGATTTTTTTTTTTTTTTTGGTCTTTTTGAGACAGGTTCTCCCTGTAGCCCCAGCTGGCCGGGAACTCTGTTGTGTAGGACAGGCTGGCCCTTGATCGCCGGCCTTCCCTCCCCAGGGTTGGTTTTAGGGAAGTGGATAGGATTCCAGCAAAGCTGCTAAAAACCATACAAATGGGATTTTTTTTTTTTTTTGGTCTTTTTGAGACAGGTTCTCCCTGTAGCCCCAGCTGTCCTGGAACTCATTATGTAGACCAGGCTGGCCTTGAACTCAGAGATCCGCCTGCCTCTGGCTCCCGAGTGCTGGAATTAAAGGCGTGCACTAGATGAGATTTTTAAAAATAGAGTGAAAGAAGCAAACAAGCCCAGAGAAACGAAGACTGCACTGTGGCGCTCCAAGGGGACCAGTGGTTCACCAGCAGCTGAACATCTCTTCAGGCTAATGCAACAAACCAATTCTGCAACCATGGAAACTGATACTGGGTAGGAAAGTGGCCACCAGGTCCCATCCCAACAAAACTCAGTGCCTCCCCTCGCATCTGCCCCAGTCCAGAAGCCTGGACTAACCACTGGACACCTCGTGGGATGAAAGAAAGAGGGCTGGGGAAGGGTGCGGTGTCCACAGCCGGGTCCCAGAGGCAAACAGCCACCAGAAAAGGTCAAAGGGAGGGTAGGGTTTAAAACAAGCATCCACAAGGCCTGAGCAGAGCCAGGGAAGGCTCCCAAGAGGGGTGCTCCTAGGAGGGTCCTGCTGGCAGCACAGGAGCTCGCCAGCCCCGGGCATCCACAACACCAATCCCGGAGTCCCGAGTTTCAGCTTCGCTTTATCCCCGCCTTAGTCCCAGGCCCACAGGCATGTGGCCGCCCGGGCCTCAGTTTCCCCATCTGTAAAGCAGGAAGCTGTAAACCGGTCAAGAGGCGCTGGCCTCCTAGGAACCGCCGGCCCCCTGCCTCCGCCGCTCCGCCCGCGAACCCGGGCTGTCCCCGTCCGCGCCCCAGTCCCCGGCGCCTTCCGGCGCCGCCGCGAGCGAACTTCCCCCGGGCCCCGGGCTCCAGGCCACGCGCGTCCCTTCCGCGGCGGCCCAGCCGGGTCCGCCATCCCCGGGGCAGCGGTGTGGAGCTCCTCCCGGGCACCCGCAGCGGATCCTAGAGTCCAGGCCGCCCGCCCCCCCGCCGGCCGGGTTCACCTACCGAGCCGAGC